GGAAAGTAGTGACTTCGTGGACCTGGAAGAGACTGATATCTGCCTGAGGCTTTCAGAAGTTTGAGAGCTCGTCAAAAGCACCGCCCTTTTGGTGCGCCTGAACAAATCCGATCCTTAGAAGAAAGGGTCGCAAAACATGTAAATTCGAACATTTGCTAGTTCCTTGCTCACATTGTAGTGGTTTAGGCATTGATGAAATTCCAGTCGCCTGCTCAACCAGTTCCTTTTCAGCCTGCTCCCACATCCTATGCAAAGGTCCGAAACTGGCAATCAAGCTTCTGTCGACTGCACATCGAATGACCTTGTAAGCCCATTGACCTGAAAGCTTGAACATGGAAACTTGGATGAGTAATGACAACACGCAAGCAAGGCTTTCCAATCATTGGCTTGGTGAGTGGCAATACCTTAGTCTTATGCCGTAGACCACCAAGCCAATAATCCCTTAACCTCAAAACTCTAGACGTTACCCCAGCTCCCCAGACGCCACCAACCCAAACCCGTAAAGTCTTAACCCTTGTCCATAGACCTTACACACTTACACCCATGGCCTCATTCTGGAAGGCGTTGAAAACAGTTCTCGCCCAGACTGAGAGTTTTGCAGACATGGCAGAGGTCCGAAACAAGGATTTAGGGCTTAGTTGGGTGAGGGTTGGGACTCAAGATTAGGAAGGGTTCAGGGAAGTTCAAGATTCTGAGCTAGGTAGTGTCTACCTAGCCCTAGAAGCACGCTCCAAATTGTGGGGTCCTTCGTCTCTGGGCCCCGTAGTCAAGGCTGTAGTAATTCGAGGAAGTTAGAGGCACCCGAAGACCGAGGACTGCCCCTACAGGAATTCCAGTTGAGATAACTATTGTCCACTTAGCAAAGAAGGCCGTGTCAGCTTTCCGCTTTACTGTACTTGCCGAAAGCGAACTCATACTCCATCCTTCGGTTGAGATCAGTCCCCCAACAGTCATCCGCCTAGTCCACTGGTCCTTGGGTCTTTGTCGCTGCCTCCGCAGTTTTCGTTGCAGCCGTTGTCATGCACAGTGTTGCCATGTGATTAGGAAGTGTAGCGAAGTTGTCATGAAGGTCCCAGTACAATCTGCGGCTGCTGCAGGTCCTCAGCAGTGAAATTCTGGCCGGAGCCTACGCGCAACATCCGACTGTGGAAGGCTGGCACAGCGAAAGCCCAATGCACAATCCAGGAAGTCAGAAGCCATTCTAGAAGCTGACAGCTGTATCTACCGAGGGCCTCCAACACGGTTCTATAGGTCTCACGCGAGCATGACAATATGTGAAAGCCTTGCAGCATGCCACAGCCCTCTCAGGTAGGTTCCAGTTTATGGGTCCAATAGATGGTGTCCGTGACGATTTCATCTTTTTGTTTCTGCAGGGGTCTTCCAGGGAAGCAGGAGAAGGCAAGCCCACATGGCTTATCCACAGCTGCAAAACCTGACAAGCATTCGCATACTATCTCATGTTCCAAAGCTAGAAATGCACAAGGTTTTTTGTGCAACGGGATCGAAGAAATCCTCCTACCTTTGCAAGCCCCAATGGTGTGCATTGTTCTGCTTTGCGTGTAAGGATGGTGGCTCCTATGAACCTTGTGAGCCTGCAGCCCATGATTACTCCAGCAGCAAAACTCACAGACGAAGAACAGTTTTGGGGGGGGGTCGCTGAGCTCTGGTCTGTTGCACGAATCCAAAAGGGTAAGGCCGTTCAAACCCTGAACTACAATTCCTGGATCCTGCAAACAGACAAGTTCGAAGGAACCCAGGCCCAAACAGACGCACAGCCAGCTTAATGGGCACACGTAATGCCCCCAACACACAGCGGTTGACTCTTGTAACCATTTCTCTCGCTAGCACTCTTGAGAACGTACTTTCCCATCATTGGTCAGCATACTCGCGATGAGTCTAGTTTATGGCTAAGAGACCCACATCTCCAGGACCCTAACACAACTCTAGACCCGAATCCGGCGGTCAAATCATGACCTCTTGCAAAAAAACTCACGGTGCTGATGCATGAACAGCTCAGGAGATGGCCTTGGTGGCTTTTTTAACACCTGTAGGGCAGCAGCGCACAAGTACTCAACCCCGACAATGCATTTGTTTTATTCTTCGAGTCTTTCTAGATCATTGTTGCTGGCGCAATGGCAATAAGTGCCTCACGTCTCAGCTGGATTTAACATGTTTTCCTCAGCTATGCAAAGGTGCTCGTATCCGTTTGGCAAGCGATCAAGCGAAGCCAGGCTTCAACCAGAGGGTAAGCCTGGTCATCATTATGTTGCGCATGTTAAGATTTTTGTGCTCTTGTTGCAGCACTAGCCGTGGCAGTATAGCCGTGCCCGCAGCTGCATCCGCAAACGCAGCAGCCACGTCCGCGTCTTCGTCCTGGTACTATGTTGGGTATTGTAGTTGTGCTGGAGCTGCTATGGATTTTGCGACTGCTAAAATTCTTGGTGGCATTGTGATGATTTTGAGTTGATCTTACTGCCAATGCTAGGCTACGCTAGGTGTCAATGCTCTGGGTGACCGGTGACCGGCACTGGCGAGCTACCGCATGCTACCGCATCCTTGCCGGGAGCGGCTGCCGCAAGCTGCCGCATGCTACGCCGATGCCAAGCGTTCCCACCTGGACACGGCCCGAAAGTGCGACAAGTTGGCATCCATTTTCAGCCAGTCGTCTTCGAAGCCCAGGGTGGTCTCTGCAAACAGGCTGCGGCGCTAGTCCACGGCATCGCCTTCTCTGCCGCTGCCGCCCTCCAGCGGGACCCATTCTCTGTCAAGTCCGAGCTCTTGGGCAAGATTGCGGTTGTTGCGGTTGTGCTATGCCGAGCAGCTGCCCGTGCCATTGACCGCCGCCGGCGGACGCAGCAACGTTCAGAGGCTAGGCCGGTTGAGCAGTGGCGCCAGGTGGATCGACATTGCATCGAGCCGCCGTAGTTCACAGTCTCTTCCACCACTGCCTGTCCCACGTATTCCGTTTTCCTCAGCCTGCAGAGCTGATTTGCGGGGCCAGGCCCTGATCGGGCCCAGAACCCCTTTTTCGGCTCGAGAATGGGGGTCTGAGCCTCTTGTGGGAAATGAGGACTCTCAAGGGCATTTTCGTTGTTCCTTTTCCGTGCCTCCCATAAGCGGACCCCATCACGCCCACATTAAAGCTTGTGAGTATGGTGCTGGCAGGGGATTTCACGTGTCTTTCTTGACTTACTCCGAATGGGCATGTGGCTCTTCTGTAGCGATTAGACGCAATTTATCGCTGTGCGTGCTCGGTGAACTTACACTCTCGCGTGGAGCGTCTCTGCAATCTGGTTTGGCGCAAGGCTCTCGCAATACCTTTGGCTCTCCAACCAGCCACCCGCATGGTGCACACACCCAAAGACAAGTATGCAGCCAATTGAAGGGACCCCCCAAAACATGATATCTTCTTTGGACCGGCTCGTAAAGGACAATAGGGGCCCCTAGACCGCAGTTCTTGACGACAGCCCTGCGCTGAATGATGGTTTGAAACGCGTCAGGTTTTGCGAATACTGTCCCTGAAATGTGCGGGTTGCGAGCCTCAAAGGCCTGCACAAAGACGATTGTCGTTTCATGTGTTTCATGTTTGTTTTTTGGTAGTCAGGGATCTGAGGGTGTTTAGAATGCTGGTCAAGTTAAGCTTCCTCTGAACACCGTGCCCGTCTCTGGCACAGGGTTCACAGACAGGGATGCACTTTGTAGCATGCTGCTTACTGTGTGCCGAATCACACACTCCGTTATGATAAGTTTCTCTCACACGCATGCAACGCGTCTTTATCTTGACACTCGTCTGTGTATGACCGTCCGAAATTCGTCATCATTTGCAATCCGCGCAGGCGGATTTCAAAGCGTGGCACGTCGGGGAAGCCTTCGTTCGCTTCAGGGAAAAGAGTGCGGTGCGTTTGAGGCCTGATAGATGGATAAGATATTATATAGTACAGTTGATGAAAATACTTCTATAGCATTAGCAGAGGCACCGGAGCAAAGTCTTGGACATAGGGCCCTTTCATACAAAAAGGTATCAGCCACGCCTAGAACTGGGGGCGATCTTCTACTAGCCTTCTGATGTTATACACCCACTAGCTGCAACCTTCACCCTCGCTCCTGAACCTGCTTTCCCATACTCTAGACTTCAAATTCCCCTGTAAAGCTGGTTGCTTGTTCGCTATGGTTGCTGCTCGACCGAGGAGACTCCTGCAACACATGGAGCGAGATGTGGTTTTGCTGGCTACTGGGTCCTTGGATTAGGAGCGGTCTTTGAGGGGTCCGGGGCAGCTGCCAGCTAGTTCCCAGCGCATATGTTTGCTGGGGCTAAGCAGGATTGGACTTTTTTTGTTGCCAGAATGTGGAAAGCATCCGCTTTCTGGCAGTTGCCATATGGATGCTGAGAAGCCTTGTTTAGAATTGCTCTCCACTTACTTTATGGTTTTCACGACGAGCCTGACTTTTGCACATACACACACAACCCGACGCTTGTGGAAGACGCCAGAAAATACATCACTTGTCATGCAGAAGGGGCCTAGGAATCCATGCTATAATCCAGCCGAGAGTTGATGCACCTCCAGAATCTCCACATATCAACACCTGAGACAAAAACTGCTTACTCTGACGCTGTCATGCAAGAGGGTTTAGGCATCTTTGTCAACCCTCAAGTCAACACTCAAGAATCCCTCAGCGTAAGCCCGGCACCCCGAAATCTGAAGTTTGATCTATTCAACTATGGCCCACCCAACTTCGATGTTCTTTCATGATTTTCTTACCCCATATGTAGCGTGAAGTATGGCAAAGACTTAAGCTTGCAAGCATGGCGATGCTTCTGGAAGAGGCCCAAGCATTCAACCCTGAACCCTACCAGGAAGATTCCGCTCATGCTCCTCCCCAGTATCGTATCGCATCGTACCCTGTTGTAGTTAATCAGGGCCCAGCGCTCCAACCCCTAAACTATAAACCTAGATATGCTAAAATACTCCTGAAGAGAGGGTCTAGTATTTTCAGCCCAGGCGATGGGCGGCTTTGATCATGTGCGGACTGGCAGCTCGCATTGAGAACAAAGCTTCAGGTCTCGTACTGCAGACGGGCAGTTCGGGCTTATGGTAAGGACTTGGAAAGGATTTGATTATCTGATTCGTGGTTATAGTTAGTCTGTAAAAGGAACCATCGGGAATGTCGGAAGCGGGCAGACAAGATGGCGGAGGCGGGCATCTCAGCAGACACCGTTTCATGTTGGTGGTCCTGTCCTGAGCCTGATTTCTCCTTCGCATCGACAACAACAATACGGATGATGCCCCCGATGACCCATACTTAAAGGCCGAAGGAGTAGAAACCCTGAACACTAAAGCCTTCAAACGCTGAGCCGTAAAGCGTGAACCCGCCATCCATGTACCCTCAAAGCCCGGGAAACCCCAAACAACAAGCCCAAAAAGGATGTTGCGTATCATATATATATATATGGTCCTGCGC